TGCCCTACCAGCAGCACCCCATCCCAACACCTCAGGACTAGGAGGTGCAATCCAACCAATTTGGTGAATTAGGCTGCAATGAGGATAACCCAGAAAGGTGAGCCGACTAAAGTGCAGGCCTGGGGTGCTCCATCTTTACAGAGTTTGCCCACACTTCCACACAGCGTCTTTTCTAGTGTTTTCCCCACTGGCACCAAGTCCCTGCAGGCCTCCCTCCCTCCCACTCCTCATGACCCAGCAGTGGCCAATCTGGCTGGTCAGATGGTCAGAAATGGCTGGCAGCCCTGGATGAACTCCCTCTTCTTTTTCCCCTAGCAGGAGGAACATCAGGACGGACACTGTCACAAATGCCAGGCTCCAGCTTCTGGCCAGCATTTATCAAAAGCTCTGGGCAGAGCCTTGCACAGGGCTGGGTTAATTCCTTGGCCAGGATAAGGCTTTCCTAGTCCCAAGATAAGACAGGTTACTTCCATCCCAACATCAGGGTCTCTAATGGTAGGAGACAAAGGAAAAATAAGCACCTATTTGTGCAGGTCTGCCAGCTCAGGGTACCAGAAAACAGGAGGCTTTCTGCTTTTAGGAGAGCCACATTTGCTCTCCTTTAAAGAATGCTTTATAGCATTTCCAGAGAGGGGAGGGCGGGCATAATGAGTCAAGAAGCTGGGCATGGGCCTGGGCCCCTGAACAGAACTGGGAGAAGAGTCTCCTGAAGAAGCACATGCTGGCCACCACACTCTCCTTGACTCTGCTGCAAACCCCCTGCCCAATGGAACCCCTCAGTGCTGAGGAACCCTGACTGGTCTTAGAACAGCACCCCTAAGCTTTCAGGTGACCCCCCCCCCCATGGAATTGTGATTCTCCTTTGGTAGGGGCAAAAATGAGATCCCTATCTCAGAGCTTGTTCTGCTATCTGAGCAATTTGAAGGTCAAAATTCGTGCATGTATTTTTCAAAGCAAGTTCGTCTATTCTCAGAGCCACAGAGATGTTGAAAAGGGACAGAAATGAAAAGGCCCATTGAAGCTGTCCACATTTACCCACAACCCAGCCTCCCACCTCCTTCCTCTCTCCTGCATAGCATCTTTATCTGCCAGGAGTCCTATGGATCTAACAGTACTTTGGGGCCTACACCCTTCCCTACCCCTAACCTCTGCTGTTCATAAGCCTCCCCAGCTGGTGTGTGTCCAGGAATACCAGGTGTTGGTCTTCACTTTTTCTTTTAAGTACTGGTTGAACCAGTTAAACTAGTCTTGCCTTTCCTAAGCTTGGAAGAAAAAAAGGAAAAGAAAAAAATCTGGCAGGCAGCTACTGGAGATATTTGGAACTCTCTGCTCAGGCCAACCCCCATAATAAGAAAAATACTACTTCTATTTGTCTCATTTAGGAGGTTTCTACTTTTTTTCTTTGGTGGTCGACTAAATTCCATCTTACAGAACCATCATAAATTTTCTAAAACTTTCCCCAATTGTTGCCAGCAACTTTGGAAGGTGAATGTGTGGGGGTGTAGATGGGAAGTCTCCAAGGGCAGTGACCAGGAGTTTCAGTGACTTTTCATGAGAAAATAGAACTTCTTCATCATCTAAGAAAGCCTCACCTTGCGTTCTTTCCAGAAAGATTCAAAGAGTTCACACCTCAGAGACTCCAAATGTCTTTAAAAGATAAGGCAATACAAAGCACACGAGGCTAAGGTGATGAGAAATTATGGTAGAATATATTCCTGGAGAAACCATCTGTGGCCCTAAAGTGCGAGTGCTCCATCTGAACTAGAATGCTCCTGGTATGCCCTAGGGACTCCTCTCTTCACACACAAACACACACACACCCCCAGGTTGCAAATGCAGTCCTCCCTGCTAAAAAGGTTTAAGCATTTTCAGAAGACAAAGATTGAATATGAGGAGTTCAAGCCACCAAAGCCTCCTTTCCACATTACTCATATACACAGAGGGGCTGGAAATTGAGTCTGAAGCACCTTCATCACTTTCATACAACTCTACTCACAGGATAGGAAGTGACTGGCCTGTGGCCTCTCTGCCTCTGGTGGTAAAAGATTGACTTAAAAAAATTTTTTTTATACAGTGTCTCACTATGTTGCCCAGGCTGGCCTCAAACCTATGATCCTCCTGACAAAGCTCCTGAGTAGCTGGGGTTACAGGTGTGCCCATCACACTCAGCAAGGATTGCCTATTGCAAAAGAACCTCAAGTTTATTTTTTATTTTGGTGTTGGGGATTGAACCCAGGGGTGCTTTACTACTGAGCAACATGCCCAGCCCTTTTTAAATTTTATTTTGGGACAGGGTCTCATTAAGGTGCTGAAGCTAGCTTCAAACTTGAAGTCTTCCTACCTCAGCCTTCCGAGTTGCTGGGATTACAAGTGTGTGCTACCGTGTCCGGAAAGAGCCTCAAGTTTAAAGACTCTAGCTTACACATATGCACATACGCGCACCCCAGAAAGGTGGCATCTCAAGTAAGATGAGGGGAAAATGAGAAACAGAATAAAAATAGTAGCCCTCGACCTCCAGCTGGCCAATATAAGGGACCCTCCCCTAGGCTGCTGGTGGGAGGGCGACCAGGAGCACCAGACACTCAAGTGCTGACATAGAGGAGTTCCTGGGGACATCTGAAGGTGTCATGGGCAGTTCTCTGGGAGAAGAGCTGGAGACCCTCAACTTCCCATTTTCTGGCATGGTGGTGTGGGATCACTCCTAACTCAGGGTGGCCCCGAGAACATTCTGTCCTTCACAGCTATTCCTCAGTTCTTCCTTACAACTCTAAGGGCCAAGTCTGCTATAAGGCATCTTTGTGTTCTTATGACAGCAAGGGCAGTGTCTACAGAGAGGTCTCCCCAGCAACACATAGGACAAAAAAGTCTTCAGGAGGCGTCAATACATGTGGGGCAAAAGTGAATAGAGCATTTGAGGCTGTGGGTGGGGAGGGCCATGAGACACAGGGAAGACTACTCTCCCTCCATGGTTCCAGACAGAGATGGTCAACAGGGACAAAGCTGAGCTTGAGTGTGGGAAGCCTGGAGCACACATAACAATGGATCCAGGAACATGGCGGCCGCCAGTCTCTGGGGAACAAGGAAAGGCTGTCTACTGGGAAAGAAAGGGTTTCCAGATACTAGGCAGGAAATATAGGGAAAGGAAACACCAGGAGTAGAGTCAGGGCATGATCTGCCCTGTAGCTGAGGAAAGCAGGTAGCATTCCTGCCCACAGAAATAATCTTTTGGCCATGCAAGTTAAGTAAGAGATTTGAGAATACAGGTTGAGTATCCCTAATCAGAATATCTGAAAACCTGAAGTGCTCCCAAAATCTGAAACTTTTTTTCCCTTGGTGTTGAGAATTGAACCCAGGGCTTTACACAGGCTGGACAAGTGCTCTACCATTGAGCCAAATCCCCAGTCCCCTGAAATCTTTTGAGTGGTGACATGGCTCCCCCAAATTTCAGATTTTTTGGATTAGAGATGTTCAACTGGTAATGTCTATGTAAATGTCCCCAAATCTGAAAAACTCCCAAATTTGAAACACTTCTGTTCTAAGCGTTTCAGTTAAGGGTTACTCAACCTGTGGTAGGATATGTTTTCAGCAGAATTGAGCAGATCAGATTAGTCACCGATTTATTTCCCAGAATCAATGGCTGATGCTTTATGTGGGAAGAACATATCTGGTGTGAGGAAAGCCTTTCCAGGAAATGTCCATTGTTAGGATGGGGGCAAGGAAAAACAAGTCTCAGATTCTGAGATACCATAACTTCTAGTCCCTGCTCTGACTTTTTTTTTTTTTTTGTGGCGCTGGGGATTGAACCCAGGGCCTTGTGCATGCAAGGCAAGCACTCTACCAGTGGAGCTATTTCCCCAGCCCCCCTGCTCTGACTTTAATTTGAGAGGCTGGGCCTACTGCAGGGTTAGCCAACACCCATGAAGTTCTCTGATGAACAGAATTTGGAGATCAGTTTAAAGACATAAGAATGGACAACCACAGTGCCCCAGCAGCATAAGCTAAGCAGCACTATGCCATCTATCTGGAAAACTGCCATAAGAAGCCTATGGAAGGCCTTGCCTCTCCCACGACCACTGCCAACCATGTGTCAGGCTCTGTGCTAAGGTAAGGGGTTTTCTGTGTAATATATCTTAGGTCAAGAATCCCATGGATGAGGGAATGCTATCACCATTTTATGGACCAGAAAACTGAGGCCCTACTATGCTAAGCAACTTATCTGAGATAATAGTGAGTGGTAGAGGAAGGTCCAAACTCAGATCAGCTGAACTCTGAATCTTTACTCATAGTATACCCAGGCAGTTGTTGACACTTTTTTGTCCCTGGAGATATTAGGGAGACTTGAATGTCACAGAATCCTGGGCTCCATGATCCCCCCTCCTGCTATATTCACTGCTTAGTTTCAGGGCAGCCTCCAAGGTAGGAAGCCTTGGTGGAGCATTGAGGCTGTGTGACAGCACTTGAATCCATAAAGGGTGTCCTTAGATTCACCGATTCCCTCATGTTCTCTGCTGCAGGGAGTCAGAGGGCTTAATCAGGTGTTCACCTGAGTTGCAAAGTGAGGTGATGACCAGGCTTCCAGTATCCTGTGCATACCACCAGCGCACAGGCTCCTATTCCCCAGGGAGGGACAATGCTCCTGCTAGCCCCCTTTGCTGGCTTTTAGAGTGAGTCTGGCTATCCTGGGGCCTGCTATGGTCAGGTGTGCAAAGGATGAAAGAATGGGTATGTCCATGAAACAGAAGGGGTAGAGGGAAGATTATTGATGAAGCCCTGAGATCTTTCACGGTGCCATGGACCTGACCCTGGGCCTACCTTTCTTGGCCCATTTCTTTGCCACTAACTTGTACTCCCAGCTCCCTGAAACAATAGGTTTCTTATCACCATGTAGGCATTCCTGCCATAAGGCGAATAAAACTGTACAGTTCCCCTCAATCAGAGCCTCTCCCAGAACTGGCTATACCCACAACAACCTCAGGAGGCCAGCAAGGCCCAGCCCTTACCATTGTATGAGAGGCGAGGTTTGCTCAGACACATTATAAAGTGCATTTCCATCTCATCAGAAGCCACAGACTTGGAGCAAATGGGGCACTTGAAACCTGAAAGAGAGGAGAACAGAATGAAATGTCTTCTCCAAATCCAAAGGATCTACAATAAATGTAGACACACTCAAATGATGTGTGTAGGGGTAGCATCAACATGGACAATGACAATCTAGACCATCATGACTGTGGCCTTTCCATCACAGCCTTTGGCTCCCAGTTTTCTCTAAGGCTCTCCTGTCACATACCCTTTGATAATGTTAAACAGAGGTCACCGATATGTGGTTTTAGCTTAATTTTCTTCATGACCCTTTCCCAGTAGGGTCTAGTAGACAACAAGGATAGAGGAAGCAAATCAAGACAGCTGAATAATCAATCTTTTTCTATGGGGGCTACTGGGGACTGAACTCAGGGGCACTCGACCACTGAGCCACATCCCAGCCCCATTTTGTATTGTATTTAGAGACAGGGTCTCACTGAGTTGCTTAGTGCCTTGCCTTTGCTGAGGCTGGCTTTGAACTCACGATCCTCCTGTCTCAGCCTCTTGAGCTGCTGGGATTATAGGCGTGCGCCAACATGCCCAGCCTGAATAATCAATCTTTGAATAACAAAGAATTTAATATTTTTCTACCTCACAGCCTTCAAACCATTTGGCTAGATCACCCTTGGGAGGAATTACCATAGTCATTGGCACCTCCATCCCTCAACCTGCTCAGACTCCTCTCCCACCCAGCCAGGTAGCACCTTCATTCCTCACCCAGCACACCCTGTGCCTCCTTCATGGCTAAGGCAGCTGTCTTCTGGGAAGGAAAGCAGCAGTGTAGCCCTCCAAAGTGCTTCCAAATGTCACCAAGCGAAATAGCTATTTCGAGGTGCCAGGTGAACACAGGGTTTCATGATCTGCTATTTTATTCCCAGAGAAGTTTGGACCATTTATATTCTCAAAGGTTTCATTAGCACTGTTTTAGTACTAGTGAATTCTGGTCAAGCATCTTTTGTGTTGAACTCAATGCATTAAGTAAACCTAATCCCTAGATTTTGTTTTGTTTTGTTTTGTTATACTGGGGCTTGAACTCAGGGGCACTTTACCACTGAGCTACTTCTTCTTACTAAGTTGCCAAGGTTGGCTTTGAATTTTTGATCCTCCTGCCTAAGTCTCCCAAGTCACTGGGATCACAGGTGTGCACCACTATGCTTGGATCCCTAGTTTTCTTTTCTTTTTTTAATACAATAGAAACGAATATTTTCAATCTTATCCATTTTACTTTTATTGAAATAATTGTTAAATAGGTCAATTCTTTTCCATGTAAATTCTATCAAAAAGATTCACTGATATTGAAAAGTTATTTATTTGCATCAAAAAAAAAAAAAGCTGCAACACAGCTTTTCTTTCGTGACTATGATTCCTACTTGCCCATCTGCACTTCCTAATATGGCATATCTAATTCCTTATGTGAAGATTTCACACTCCTGTTACTTTTTGGTCTAATTTTTCATCCACAATTTTATTTGATGTTGGTAATGACTGTCTTTAGTATTAGTTATGAAAAGATAAAAGGCCAAGCACTCAAAATTGACTGTTGTTGGTCTCAGAACAGAGAAGAGTTCATACCTTCCCAGTGTTCTTCCTGTGGCTACTTCCCTCATCTGTGTGGAAAGTTGTGACTGGGGTGGGTGGCACTGAGGTAGGAAGCAAGCTGGCACAAGCATTTGCTTCAAGTCTCCCAAATACTCTTTTTTTTTTCCAGTGACAATGCTTTGAACTACAGGACCAAACAGTAAATTCAGGGCCTGGTTAACTATGGTCAAAATGGACACTATATGGAATGGTCCCCAATCCCTTAAGACCTTCCCTCAAAGATTATCAATATCTAAGCATCTCAGCTAAAAAGCCTTGGAAATGGTACCAATCCAGGGACTCCAGACAAATTTTTTTCATTTCTGACCTCTGCACAGTTAAAAAACCAAAAGACTGAAAAAAGAACTTAGGAGTAAAGAGAGTGGTATTCCACCCCCAATTTTCTGGTAGAATTGGTTCTAAAATGCACCAGGCTGATTATTTTATAATCAGTTTAAAAATGTGCAGATCCAGTGCCACATACACAATGGAGAGATGAGGAATGAACCTGAGTCTCAGAATGAAGATGCTCTTCATTTCTAACCCCAGTCCCTTGGTGTTCTCACAGTGTTGTGGTTTTTTTTCCAATTCAAAAGAACAAGGTTTTGTAAACTTTAAGTGGCTACAGGACATCTGCACTTTGAACTTGCTAAGTTAGTATCCTGCTTGCAGACTGAGGGCTGAGACTGTGGTAGCACAGAGGGAGGTACTCTTCAAGGTCCTTTTGAGGTGTTTAAAGTAATCTTTCACCAGGAAAAGCCTTACACTTCCTCACTTTCCTGATAACTTAGAATAGATGCACGGTTACCCAATGTAAGCATATGCACTCCCTGTATTCCAGTGTGGTTCCTTGAGTGCAGAAGGGGGGTCAATTTATAGGTAAGGCGTTGGCAAGCAGGCCACCCAAAAAGAAGGTCTACCAGGACATGTCACCAAATGTGTATGTCATGGGGGAAAAAGGATCAGAGCAACCCTCTCATTATACAGAGGAGAGAATAGGCTCCAGTGAGGCCTTGGAGTCTTGAAAGGTCACATGAGTGACATGGTAAAGCCAAGACTAGACTTCTTAGCTCTGAGCCCAAAGTTCTTCCACTAGGGAAGAAAGAGTTAGCCACAGCATTTTAAGAAAGAGGTAGGGGCTGGAGTTGTGGCTTAGAGATAGAGTGCTTGCCTAGCATACGTGAGGCACTGGGTTCAATCCTCAGCACCACATAAAAACAAAATGGAGGAAGGAAAGAAGGGAGGAAGGAAGGGAGGGAGGGAGGAAGGTTTGGAGGCTGAGAATGCAGCTCAGTGGCAGAATGCCTGCCCACTTCCCTCCATGCATGAGGCCCGGGATTCAATTCCTGGCACTGCAAAAAAGAAAAAAGAGGTAGACTGGGAGATGTTGCCTCTGGAAAGGAAGAAGCTTGGTGACAGGAGGCCTGCATTTTAACTAAAGGGAGGTTAGTACCCCTGGGTGCTTTTGTTATGTGTTATTTTGTGAAGGCTCACAAAATAACCCTATGTAAGTGGGAAATGGGAAGATGACCCAGGTGTTCCAGCTTCAAGACCCTGGCAACTAATCTACCCCTTGTGGACCTTAAACTCCTCATCTAAAAGATAGGGGAATTCATTTTACTCTTGCAAGGATTAAATGAAACAAGAAACATGGAAGTGCTGTGAAAAGAAGTGAACCAAACGTAGGTGGTAGAATCATCATTGGGCCAAGTGGCACTGGATGGGACAGGAACGAATAAAAGGGTTAAAGGAAGGACTTAGGATAACTGCAGTCTATGGTGATGTACTTGTAGGACCCTGAACAAGGGAAGACTGGCCACAGGCCAAGCAGTCTGCTGGAAGTGGCCAGCAGCCACATCTCTGCTGGATCCCACAGTTTCCTTTGAACTTCTAGAGCACTGTGCACGGCTACTGGCACTTTCCATACCGCCAATGAGGAAACAACAGTCTGTTTAACCTCTACGGCACCACCTCTTGGATATGATGATAAAGAAATAACACTTTGCATTTACTGACTTATTTGTATGGACAGTCACTGTCCAAAAAGGATTTACATGCCTTCTCATTGCAAGGTAAAAATAAGGTAGGTGCTGTTATTAACTCTGTTTCACAGACAAAGATATTGAGGACCACAAGATTAAGGAAGCTGTTCTAGGTTAATGCAGCTATAAACAGCCAGAGCTAGGACATGACCAGAGAGTGCCCATGGAGCTGGCACTTGTGTGCCACTGCTGGCTAGCACAGAAAGAGGAGTTACATGGCAAAACGAACCCAGACATGGTCTTAGTGAATACTCATTTCAAACCTTACAACATGTCGTTGCATTTCTCCTGAAGTACCCATGGTTCTGAATAATCCCATCACAATGGTGAATTTAGTTAATTTTTCTGGGAATTCTGTTAATGTGGAAGAAGAGAGTTCTGCTTTCCACTTGGCACTGAGCCTACAGTACTGGTTAAGATGTTGGGTTTACAAATTACCTTTTAAATGGAAAATAACAGAAAAAAGAGGGACAGAAAAATACAGAGAGCTAAGGGAAAAAAAAAAAAAAAAACTAATGTCCCCACTTTCTTTCCTGAAAGGTCATCCGATGATCACGATGGATTCTACTACTCTACTGCCCCAATCTTTTCTCGTAATTGTCCAGCCTTGATTCAGCACCAATAGCCCTAAGGAATGATAAATACTGTGATGTTTGTGAGCTATCTGAAGGTAAAATATCTAGAAAATTTTGATTCCATTTGGAAAGAAGTCTGTACCAAATGAAAAACAGCCCTGCAAACAAAAATAAACCAATGATCTGCAGAGTAATCTAGTTCACATGACTCTGTCAAATTTTCTCAGAGGCCTCAGAAGCACTTGGGAACAGTGAATCAGGGGGGGCTTTACATTCTTTCAAGAGAAAGCCTCAGGTAGGCTCTTCAGAACTCTCTCAAATTGTTCTTAGATCAGATGCTGCCTGGTATACCCTGGAGGCAGGGGAAGAGAAGCCAGCCCTCCAAGGCCTTCAGATGCCTGTCCATCTGCATTTGTTACATGTCTGCCACTAACATGGAGGGAGATGTCAGCTAGCTCAGGCTTGCTGGCCAAGTCTGACCCTCATTCACCTTAAGCCACTGTCTCTTGCATCAAACTGAGGCAAAGGTAGGAACTTGGTTCCTGTCCTTTTATGCCAATGTCTCAGAATGAGGAAGAACTGTCTGACAGTACCGTAGGTAACTTATCTGTGATGGTCCTATTCTGTGCTAGTGGCTCAATAAAGCAAATGATGATATAGGATTCCACTGAGAGTAGCCAAGAGAGTAATTCTAATGAAGACCTCATTTCTTTCCTTTTTCTTATCATCAGATAGGTTGTTTCTACATCCAGAAGAATGGAGGAGAGTCCAATTCATCAGACACTATGCTTACATGGGGAATACCTTGCTATTCTGACATCT